AATAAATGGGGAGGGTGGGATAAAAAGAAATTGGTAGGGGAGGGGGGAGAAGAAATGGGGAGGGTGGGAGAAGAAGAAATTGGCAGGGGAGGGGGGAGAAGAAGAAATTGGTAGGGGAGGGGGGAGAAGAAGAAATGGGGAGGGGAGGGGGGGAGAAGAAGAAATTGGTAGGGGAGGGGGAGAAGAAGAAATTGGTAGGGGAGGGGGGAGAAGAAGAAATTGGTGGGGGGGGAGAAGAAATTGACGGGGGGTGAGAGTTACAGGGGAGGAAGGGGCAATGAGAGTGGGAAGGGGGAGGGGAGAAGAGAGTGACAAGGGAGGGAGAGGGGGGAGAAGAGAGTAACAAGGGAGGGGGGAGAGATTGACGTCCATCACACACACATACAATGCACCCCTTGCACACAGAAAAACACACAATGCATTACACACACAGACACACAGACACACACACACACACAAACAATGTAACCCTTACACACAATGCATCCCTTACACACACAGAAACACACAATGCATTCCTTACACACACTCAATGCACCCCTTACACACGCACACACTGCATCCTGTACATACACAGAAACACACCTTGCAGCCCTTACACATACAAACACAGATTCACACAATGCATCCCTTACACACATATCAGGACATCCCCTACACACTCCACCCCCTGTGAACAAACTCATTGGTGGAACATGAAGGTGGACCCTGGGACCCAGACCTTGAGCTGTGTAAAGGGCCCCCAAAAATGGAGCTGCTTCCCGTTCTCCCAGAATATTGATTTTGTGACCACAGTTACAAACAGCCTCCAGAGAGCCTGTTCTACACCAGACCAGTGGAGTCAGACTGCAGCTAGAGCCCATCATCATCCTCATCTGGTTGTAAGTAGGCAATCTAGTATATTATTCGTGGCACTAATCTCTAATTTACCTCACATTAAAGGGACACTATAGTCCCCAGAACCACTTCAGCTTAATGTAGTTGTTCTGGTGTCTATAGCCTGTCCCTGCAGGCCTTATAATGTAAACACGGCGGCACTGCAGCACTGGCGTTAGTTAACATGGCAAATCATATGGGTGGAGCATTGTGATGTCACATGGGGGGGCGGCAAACTTTACTTTTGCCTAGGGCGGCAAAAATCCTTGCACCGGCCCTGGAACCGCTGCACTATACAATAAACCCTAAACTACTTTGTAACACTAAGCAACACTAGCCCTGAAGTAAACTAAGTGTATATCTCAAACAAGATGAAAGTGCACAATGTGAAAGCAGCACACAGTGTCTACTTGTATTCAGTCCTATATGGATTGATAGAAGATACAGAGAGTTAATTCATTCTTAGATTTTACATCTGTAACAGTAATAAGCAAAATGAAATAACAGTGCAATATGTAAAATAAAGGACGAGGTTCACCTGTTGTATAAAACCACTTGTGACTTAGAGCCATGTCCAGGATTTATATGATTGGCTTGTGGGTGTTCCTTCTCAGGGCACTAAACTATCCCTGACATATTACTCTACACATTAATCTCTATACTTCCCTAACACACTATACTACAGGTGAATCTATACACTCTCCTAACACACTATACTACAAATTAATACACACAAACTCACTGATTTGAAACAGTCACTGACACACATACACACCGACAGACACACTGACACACACTCTCAATGACAGACACACAATCTCACAGATGTGAAACATACTCACTGACAGACACACACTCACTGACAGACAAACTTACTGACAGACATACTGACATACATTCTCAATGACAAACACATACTCTCACTGATTTGAAGCACACTCACTTACAGACATCTAAAGCCCAATCTTTTTATCACAACCCCAGAAAGCTATTTATAATGTAACAAATATAATGAGAGCACTTACCGTGAAATCTGGCAAGCCCTCCAACAGACAAAATATGGCATTAAAGTATTATGTGAAAAAAAGCTAACTTTTATTGGTCTCATTTTATCAGCATTTCATCTTTATTTTACTAGAAAAACATTTTTTTTAATATGTACCATTCAACAAATGAACATAACTCCATTTTTTTTTTTAAATGTCAAGTTTTCTCTTGATTCCCATCTATCTGTTCGCAATAAAAAATAAGTTCCAACAGAAGCTGTTTATACACAATCTGAAAAGTTAGAAGTTAGTTGCTACAGAAATACCGGATCCTAATTTTAAGGGAACTGAGTTAGACAGGAGGTAAGATACAATCAAAAGTCTCTTGTCTACTTGGAAAACTATATGTGGTTAGGTACTGAATGAATACAGCTTTTCCGAAGTCATCAACTCCCCTCACCCCCTCTCTCTCTCTCTCTCTCTCTCTCTCTCTTACTATTTGATTTGTTTGTAACACAGAAATGGAAAAAACCAATGAAGCAATTCAGCTAGAATTTCTATTTTATAAAAAACACAACTTTTTATACCCCGCTCTTACGTCCAGCACATGCATACACACTTCTCTATACATATTACATAAACAACAATTTCCTTTTGCATGCTGGAGTTTTTGCAATGAAGAATTAGAGGGTTTGAGCAACAGAAAAGACGTACTCTGTGCTTATGCATACATACGTTTTGATTTTCATGGAGCAAAAGCATGAAAGAACTATAAACAGAAGCATCACAGTTTCAGGAGGTTCCTTGTTCCTTAATGATATGTGGGCAGTAAAATGAATGCCTTGTCTTTGGCTTTTTTGAGTCATTCTCATTGGGAGCCTTGTTAAATACTTGGGTTTCAATCAGTCTCTGAATTTTTATTAACATGAAAGTGCATCTGTTCTCATGGATATTTTTCTTTGCATGATCCAATCATACTTTTAAAACTTCCATGCGTGCCATTTTTTTTTTAATTATAAACATCAAATTAAAAATTTCTAATCAGGCTGCTATTACTGTGAAAATTGTACTTTATCATGTAGTTTGATAAAGAACTTCCCCGTCACTATACAATAGACTTGCGCGTTTGTCTTCGGCCGAATTACAGTTACAATTACAATCGTCGGGTAGTCTGAATTTTGCACCACCGAAGTGCAATATGGATGTATAACTGTAGAATGGTCGAGCATGTTCATTTGTTTTGTGATTCAGAGTTCCATTCATGGCACTAAAAAAGATGATTGATGGTTAGGTGATATCCACTAAATGTAAAAGAGGCTGATACACTCTAGGTTATAATGCATGCTGCAACAGTGTATCTGAAATATACCTCCCTGCTATAACCCACTTTCTTTATTCTGTAATGTAATACTGTGCCTCAATAAAAGAAAGAATGACAACAAAAAAAGATATCCACTAAATACTGATTTTATTCACAGATCAAGTGATTACTGACCAATAAATATACAAGATATAAGTATATATAAAAAAACAACAAATTCACACTTGATATGTAAAAATAAACCTAGCCATCACATGGATGACTATCGAGCTATCCAAATTTAATTTTAGCTTTCGGATGAAGTTTTTCAGCTTAACCAAAGTTTCACGTCTACTGAACAATATTGGAATCTAATCCACGCCAAATTCTATAATTTGATTGGTTGCTAGCATCACATGCATTTAGTAGCCATTTTGTATCACTAACTGATTCTAATAGGTTATCAAGTGTGGTGCGATTCCACCATGACAACCTATGTGTTGGGGAAAAAATTTCACATCTATAGCTTTAATTATATACATTTACCACAACACGGTTTGATTATTATATTGTTTAACTGATTTCTAAAAATGTAGTTTATAAGTGAGATAGGTCACAGATCCTCCTATTTCAACACGAGCATTCAATAGACCTTCTAAAGCATATACCAAGTGGATCATGGGCAGAGAAGGTCAATTTTTAAAAGTAGGCCTTAAAATTTTTGCGTTTTTTTCTAATGGTGAAGATAGCTGCCAGTTTCAGAATTCAGCCATGCATTTTTGACAGATTGAGCAAATGTCACTGTTTCGATTTTTATGTTTTAAATTAAATACTATACTAAACATAAATGTTGTAGAAACAGGCAAAAATTACTTTATTTTTATGTGCCCAAATCTGATATTAAACGCATTTACTAAGAGACAAAAATCTGTGTTTTGGCAATCTTTATTATTCTTAATTTGATGCAGGTTATCTGATAAACATCATACATTTTAATTGAAATTTCAGTTTATTAGTTTGTTCATCGAAAACTTAGTTTTTGTTCTTTCATACATTTGTTTGGACCTATTCTTTCCAATATTTTTATTAGTGATATTGCAGAAGGTCTTGATGGTAAGGTATGTCTTTTTGCTGATGATACTAAGATATGTAACAGGGTTGATGTTCCAGGAGGGATAAGCCAAATGACAAATGATTTAGGTAAACTAGAAAAATGGTCAGAATTGTGGCAACTGACATTTAATGTGGATAAGGGGGCAGAGGGCGTGTATAGGCTGGTGTAACGGTTACACTTCAGCCATTTTAGTTTTGCAAATGTCCCCATCTGTTGTTGCCCTCACTCCCTTGTGTGGTGCTTTATGGGTCTTGTGGTGTTTGGGTGATACTTCCATGTTCTGCCAGTTTTTCTTTTTCTTTCAGAGATGGTGGGTCACAAGAACGGCAGTGCTGGAGAAGATCGTTGTTGCAGCCTTGGTGGGGGCTTGCTCATGGGATGGTCTATGGCCTCACAATGTGGATGCGATGATAGCCTAATGGAGGCTTGGGGGTCTCTTAACCAAAATGGGGACTGGACAGATTGTTATGTTCCAGTGGATGGATCGGCAGTGCCAGAGGAGATTGTTGTCGCAGCCTTGGCGGTAGCTGGCTCCAGGGGACGGTCTATGGCCTCACAATGAGTATGTGGTGATAGCCTAATGGAGGTTTGGTGGGAGGTTTTAAGCCGGAAGAGGGGCTCTTAGCCTAAATGGGGTGCTGGGCAGACAGTTTTGTCCCAGCGGTCGGATCGATTCCAACATGGAGCACACTGGTGCTGGAAAGGTTAAATGGTTAATGGTTAATTATGCTAATTACAGTCTGGAAGTTATTTAGGGTTATGTTAGCCCTGTGTTAAAAAAACATTGTCATTGCCTAATATTGTTATAAGGTTCAATTTATATTTAATGATAATTGGAGGCAATGACTGTTTTAATAAATAAAAATGGCTGTGGCCTTTTCTACCCACTACGTTTGTGCCTTGTGGTTTGAATTATAGTAGACAGCCTGGAAGTCGGGGCTACAACTGTCATGCTTGGTTATATTGGGAGAGGTATTAGCAGTAGAAAGGAGGAAGTGCTCATGCCATTGTACAGAACACTGGTGAGACCTCGCTTGGAGTATTGTACGCAGTACTGGAGACCGTATCTTCAGAAGGATATTGATACTTTAGAGAGAGTTCAGAGAAGGGCTACTAAACTGGTTCATGGATTGCAGGATAAAACTTACCAGGAAAGGTTAAAGGATCTTAACATGTATAGCTTGGAGGAAAGACGAGACAGGGGGTATATGATAGAAACATTTAAATACATAAAGGGAATCCACACTGTAAAGGAGGAGGCCATATTTAAAAGAAGAAAAACTACCACAAGAAGAGGACATAGTCTTAAAATAGAGGGGTAAAGGTTTAAAAATAATATGAGGAAGTATTACTTTACTGAGAGGGTAGTTAATGCATGGATTAACCTTGCAACGGAAGTGGTAGAGGTTAACACAGTGAGGGAGTTTAAGCATGCGTGGGATAGGCATAATGCTATCCTAGATAAAAGATAAGGCCAGGGACTAATAAAAGTATTTTAAAAATTGGACAGACTAGATGGGCCGAATGGCTCTTATCTGCCTTCACATTCTATGTTTCTAGGTTTTGACTTAACCTTTTCTACATAAAAACAATATCTACAAGCTAGTCTATATTCCTAAGTGCATGATAACCTTCATTTTTCTAATATTATCAGTTTAAATTATGGATTTAAAATACATTTCCAAATATAAAACAAGGAAAGATAGTTGGAAAATTGAATCTGAGAGCTATTCAACCTAAAAAATTGTACTCTAAAGTATGATAGTTGATTATCAATTCACTTGCCTAAATACACTGAACAAAATTATAAACGCAACACTTTTGTTTTTGCCCCCATTTTTCATGAGCTGAACTCAAATATCTAAGAGCTGTTGCCCATGAATTGAATGTTCATTTCTCTACCATAAGCTGTCTCCAAAGGTGTTTCAGAGAATTTGGCAGTACATCCAACCGGCCTCACAACCGCAGACCACGTTTGCGCAGAACACCAGCCCAGGACCTCCACATCCAGCATCTTCACCTCTAAGATCGTCTGAGACCAGCAACCCGGACAGCTGTTGCAACAATTGGTTTGCATAATCAAAGAATTTCTGCACAAACTGTCAGAAACCATCTCAAGGAAGCTCATCTGCATGCTCGTCATCCTCAACAGGGTCTCAACCTGACTGCAGTTCGTCGTCGTAACCGACTTGAGTGGGCAAATGCTCACATTTGATGGCATCTGGCACTTTGGAGAGGTGTTCACTTCACGGATGAATCCCAGTTTTCACTATACAAGTCAGATGGCAGACAGCATGCATGGCGTCGTGTGTGTGAGTGGTTTGCTGATGTCAATGTTGTGAATCGAGTGGCCCATGGTAGCGGTGGGGATATGGTATGGGCAGGCGTATTTGCACAGGTGCATTTTATTGATGGCTTTTTGAATGCACAGAGATACCGTGATGAGATCCTGAGGCCAATTGTTGTGCCATTTATCCACGACCATCACCTCATGTTGCAGCATGATAATGCATGGCCCCATATTGCATGCATCTGTACACGATTCCTGGAAGCTGAAAACATCCCAGTTCTTGCATGGCCAGCATACGCACCAGACATGTCACCCATTGAGCATGTTTGGGATGCTCTGGATCGGCGTATACGACAGCGTGTTCCAGGTCCTGCCAATATCCAGCAACTTCGCACAGCCATTGAAGAGGAGTTGACCAACATTCCACAGGCCACAATCAACAACCTGATAATCTCTATGCGAAGATGCTTTGCACTGCGTGAGGCAAATGAGGCTAATACCATAAAACTGCACATTTTAGAGTGGCCTTTTATTGTGGCCATCCTAAGGCACACCTGTGCAATAATCATGCTGTCTAATAAGCATCTTGATATGCCACACCTGTGAGTTGGATGGATTATGTCTGCAAAGGAGAAGTGCTCACTAGCACAGATTTAGACAGGATTTTTTAACAATATTTGAGAGAAATAGGCCTTTTGTGTACATAGAAAAAGTCTTTAAGTTCAGCTCATGAAAAATGGGGGCAAAAACAAAAGTGTTGCATTTATAATTTTGTTCAGTGTATATACCTCTAAGGCAAAATACGAAGTAAGTGTATATTCTTTTTCTGATTTTTCTTGAAATATACTGTATGAATGTAAAATTCATATGATTAACATGTGACCTTATTAATGAGGCAAACAGTACATAATAATTCATGAGCAATTTGAGAATGCCAGCACTAATTGGGCTCATGGAATTTCCAGTTATACGGATGAGTGAAATCATTTTACTATGACATAGTAGGAAAATAAACACACAAACACATACATTTTATTCGTTCATTAGGCGCATCTCTTGACATTGTATCACATTCTGCACAGATCAGTTCATTACTATGGAAAACATACGGTCCGATTTTGACACAGGAACTGTGATCCTATATTATTTGTTTTTTTTATCATTTGTTTCACTGTTTATGCTGATTTTTGGCAATGGCTTATTATACTGTATTGATGTCAATTTTAGTTTCCCTGTGTCCAAATTCATCCATTTGTTAGTGTTAAAGCTAACAAAATCATAATATATATATATATACAGGGAGTGCAGAATTATTAGGCAAATGAGTATTTTGACCACATCATCCTCTTTCTGCATGTTGTCTTACTCCAAGCTGTATAGGCTCGAAAGCCTACTACCAATTAAGCATATTAGGTGATGTGCATCTCTGTAATGAGAAGGGGTGTGGTCTAATGACATCAACACCCTATATCAGATGTGCATAATTATTAGGCAACTTCCTTTCCTTTGGCAAAATGGGTCAAAAGAAGGACTTGACAGGCTCAGAAAAGTCAAAAATAGTGAGATATCTTGCAGAGGGATGCAGCACTCTTAAAATTGCAAAGCTTCTGAAGCGTGATCATCGAACAATCAAGCGTTTCATTCAAAATAGTCAACAGGGTCGCAAGAAGCGTGTGGAAAAACCAAGGCGCAAAATAACTGCCCATGAACTGAGAAAAGTCAAGCGTGCAGCTGCCACGATGCCACTTGCCACCAGTTTGGCCATATTTCAGAGCTGCAACATCACTGGAGTGCCCAAAAGCACAAGGTGTGCAATACTCAGAAACATGGCCAAGGTAAGAAAGGCTGAAAGACGACCACCACTGAACAAGACACACAAGCTGAAACGTCAAGACTGGGCCAAGAAATATCTCAAGACTGATTTTTCTAAGGTTTTATGGACTGATGAAATGAGAGTGAGTCTTGATGGGCCAGATGGATGGGCCCGTGGCTGGATTGGTAAAGGGCAGAGAGCTCCAGTCCGACTCAGACGCCAGCAAGGTGGAGGTGGAGTACTGGTTTGGGCTGGTATCATCAAAGATGAGCTTGTGGGGCCTTTTCGGGTTGAGGATGGAGTCAAGCTCAACTCCCAGTCCTACTGCCAGTTCCTGGAAGACACCTTCTTCAAGCAGTGGTACAGGAAGAAGTCTGCATCCTTCAAGAAAAACATGATTTTCATGCAGGACAATGCTCCATCACACGCGTCCAAGTACTCCACAGCGTGGCTGGCAAGAAAGGGTATAAAAGAAGAAAATCTAATGACATGGCCTCCTTGTTCACCTGATCTGAACCCCATTGAGAACCTGTGGTCCATCATCAAATGTGAGATTTACAAGGAGGGAAAACAGTACACCTCTCTGAACAGTGTCTGGGAGGCTGTGGTTGCTGCTGCACGCAATGTTGATGGTGAACAGATCAAAACACTGACAGAATCCATGGATGGCAGGCTTTTGAGTGTCCTTGCAAAGAAAGGTGGCTATATTGGTCACTGATTTGTTTTTGTTTTGTTTTTGAATGTCAGAAATGTATATTTGTGAATGTTGAGATGTTATATTGGTTTCACTGGTAATAATAAATAATTGAAATGGGTATATATTTGTTTTTTGTTAAGTTGCCTAATAATTATGCACAGTAATAGTCACCTGCACACACAGATATCCCCCTAACATAGCTAAAACTAAAAACAAACTAAAAACTACTTCCAAAAATATTCAGCTTTGATATTAATGAGTTTTTTGGGTTCATTGAGAACATGGTTGTTGTTCAATAATAAAATTAATCCTCAAAAATACAACTTGCCTAATAATTCTGCACTCCCTGTATATATTTATTATTACATTGTTGAGAAACAATGTTTCTGATCTGTTATGTAACGTAACTTACAAATTAGCCCCCTAGGCCCCTCATTATCTCCATTAAAAAGTTATTTTGCATACTTTTTTCCAACGCAGGTCCGGTCGCAGCTTGCCTCTCCCAATCTCCGCCCACGGTCCACCCCCTTACACCAGGACACTCTGTACTTTAATTCCACTACTGAGCACAATGCAGATTATGAACATAAAAAATGCTACACATAGAAAACATTCTTATAGCAAAACAGGGGAATAAGATATCAGAGGCAAACTTAAAGGGACTCTATTGTTACCTGAACAACTACAGCCTAATGTAGTTGTTCTGGTGTGTATAGTATGTTC